TGCCCATAAGGGCTGAAGCCAGGCCAGAAAAGGCCATGCAGCCTGGTTCTCTGACAATGCTCGCTCTCCCATAGCTTCCCTCGGGAGGTTCCCTCAGAATCCGCGGCCATTCTGTGAGAAGCCCAAAGGGAACGGAAAGGCCATGTGTCGGTGCTCTGCTCCCAGGGGCAGTCCCACCACAGCAACACAGGTATGAGTGAGGGAGCCTCCAGGCGATTCCAGCTCCTGGCCATTGGAATCAGCCCCAGCCATTCCAGTTTCCCCAGCGGAGGGCCCTGGCATTTGTGGCAGAGACGCGAAGCCATCCCTGCTGTGTCTTGCCTAATTCTGGACCTGCAAAACCCACGAGCATAATAAAATAGTAATTTTATGCCGCTAAGTTGGGAGTGGTTTTGTTTGTTTGTTTGTTTTGCTTCGTGTTCACACAGAAATAGTTTTCTGGAATAACAACTGTATGTCTGGAAGGAGAATATTATTGGTAATATTTGGTGTACAACTGTAGGGAGTGGCTGTAGGGTTAAGCCTCAGACTGACCTGTGGCAGGGCCACAAACAAGTCCCAACTTGGAGGGCAGAGCCCTCTTAGCATAATTAAGCTTGACCTTATAGTCCTCCCTTGCTCCTTCCTAGGTAGCTAATGGGCTGTGGGAGGTGCAGCAAGTGCTGCCAAAATAAGGTGAAACTCACAAGAACATTGCAAACATGTTGACCACTACCCTTGTTTTGCTTTGTGTGCCCTGACTATAAAATAAAGCTGCGGCTTGCAGGCCGCGGCGCTGTCTCTCCATCATAGAAGCAGCGTCCCACCGAGCCCCAGCTGTATTCTCTTGTCTGTCTTCCTTAATCCTTAATCTGTGTTGTCTGTACTGTCGGCCAGGTTTCCCTCTGAAGTGTGAAAAATGGCTGCCAGCAGCACCAAGCTCACTTCTCACCAATGTGGCAACTTCTACAAAAAGAAAAAGCCTCTATCTTGATGATTCCAGCAAAAACCCAGGGCTTGCCTCTCAGTGGTTTGCTTTGAGTCAGGTGTTCATTTGGAACCAATCTCCGAGGACAGAGAGAGGCAGTGTTCTGATTGGCTAGGCCTGGGTCACGTGCCCATTCCACCCCCAGCTGAGGATGGGATGGTCTTTCGTTGTATCCACGTTGGGCGGCAGGGGAAGGAACACTGAGCGGCTCACAGGGCCCCTGGACTCGATTCCAATGTGTGTGCAGGGAGGCTTCCCCACTCCAAGCAGTTACCAGACACCAGAGTCCACAGGTGAAGGGCTCACCCCGAAGGACTGCCCTCCGCTTCAAATGCCAGTCACGGTCCAGACTATTATCTGTGCTTCCGACCAACGGGCAAAAAATAAGTCAGAGGTTCCTCTCCTTAGGTTTGACTCATTTGCTAGAATGGCTCACAGGACTCAGGAAACTCCCTTACTCACTAGATTACCAATTCATTACAAAGGGTATCAGAGGGCACAAATCACCAGCCAGGTGAAGGGAGACGGAGGCTGAAGTCCGGAACAGGGAGTGTCTGTCTGCATGGAGCGTGGTTCCACCACACGGCAGCTCTTCTAAAAAGGGGCAGTGAGCTGTCCTTTGGGGTTTTTGTGGAGGCTTCATGACATAATCATGTTTAACTAAAGTTAAACAATTTGCAACCTGTGTGCTGCAAGAATTTTTAAAGCATGCAATACCTGACTGTTTACAGGGCACTGACCTCTTCCCTAGATTGTCAAAAAAAAAAAAAAAAGTCAACAGTCAGCACAGCAATAGCTATCTGGTGTGAATGAATTAAATTATAGCTTTTTTTTTTTTGGTCACATTAGCAACAAATATATTTTTTGGTGTGCCAGAGAACATTAGTGATTAGTTTATGTGCACCATGAGATGAAAAAGGTGGAAACCCTGGTCTAAGCCAATTATGAAGACCTCCTACCCTTACCAGAGATTGATTTAGGGGTGTCAGGTGGCCCAGTTCTGGCCAATGAGCCATGAGGGGAGGCCTGCTTGGGATTTTTGTGAGGAAGGTTTCCTCATTTTTTCAGGATTTACTGGAAGGGAAGTTTCTTCTTACTGGAGTTTACATGGTTTCTGTACACCAACCACCATAGAAAAGAAAAAAAGAAGAGCCCTGGCTGTTGTCGCTCAGTGGTTAGAGCATCCGCCCATGCACTGAAAGGGTCGAGGGTTTGATTCTGGGTCAAGGGCTTGTACCTGGGCTGCAGGTTCAATCCCCAGCCCAGGTCAGAGCATGTGAGGGAGGCAACCAATCGATGTGTCTCTCTCACATCAATGTTTTCCTCCTCCCCTCCCCTACTTCCTTCTACTCTTTCTAAAAGTCAGTGGGGAAAAATATCCTTGGATGAGGATTAACAAAAGAAAGAAAAGAAAGAAAGAAAGAAAGGAAGGAAGGAAGGAAGGAAGGAAGGAAGGAAGGAAGGAAGGAAGGAAGAGAGGAAGAAAGAGAGGAAGGAAAAGGAAAAGAAAAGAAAAAAGGTCGATCTTGGGTTCTAAATGACACTGTGAAGCCACTGGAAGCAGTGTTCCTGGGGCCCCTCTCCTCAGATCTTGTGTGATGTGAAATGAGGAATGTGAATTTCCTCACTGCTTCCTAAGCTGGTTTTTCAAAGGCATCCTGACAGGCCTTGTAGCAGGGACAATCTGGCCAGGGCACAGGTGGTACAGTGCTAGACCCGCAACTCTTCTCATCATCCCATGTGGCCTCCTCAGAATTCAGAGTCCTTGGAGACAGTAGCACCCACTGGCCAAGTTTAGGTCTATTTTTTTAAAAAACAAAACCCAAAATTTGATAGAATTAATTTGAAGATCTAATTAGCTTTATTAAACAATTATTAATCGAGCAGCATCCCATCTAGCAACTAGAGGTATGCTCCAATGGGGTGGTACAACATAGAAGAATTTTATAGGAAGGAGGCTGGGGCAAGGGAGCTATCAGTGAAAGAAAAGAAAAAAATTTTAAACATAGGTACTAAGCTCCTTTAAAAATATTTTTTTTTAATTGAATTCAGAGAAGAAGGGAGAGGGAGATAGAAACATCAGTGATGAGAGAGAATCATTGAATGGCTGCCTCTTGCACGCCCCCTATTGGGAACCAAGCCCACAACCCAGGCATGTGCCCTTGACTGGAGTGGAACCTGGGACCCTTCAGTGGATAGGCTGACGCTCCATCCACTAAGCCAAACCAGCTAGGGCAAGAAAGAACTATTTTTGAGCCTGGGCATCTTTTCTTTGGGGGAAGAAAAGCTAAGGGTTTTTATGGTGGAGAGTGCATCTTCTTTTTATGAGGGATGTTAATTATACCTTAACAAATGTAAATTTTAGCTGCAGCTTAACTGGATGGTTCTGGCTTGAGGTCACTCATGAGGCTGCAGGCGATACGTTGACTGGGGCTGCAGTATCCACTTACAGCATAGCCCCTTCACAACGGTCAAATTGGTACTTTCTCCCCACACATGCCTCTCCCTAGGGACGCTTGAGTGTCCTCCAAGTGGGCAGGTGGCTTCCCCTAGAGTGAATGATCCAAGAGACCATGGCAGAAACTGCAGTGCCTTTTATGATCTGGGCTTGGAAGTCAAACACCATCACTTCTGCCATATTCTACTGGATCCACAGAACAGCTCTGACTCACTGTGGGAAAAGATTATGCACAAGGGCATGGATTTCAGGAGGTGATCACTGGGGACCATTTTGGAGACGCCTCCCACATTGCACCTGCTCATTCCTTCCCGGGGTGCTCTGCTTTTCAACTATGCGTAGGCTTCATTCTCAGGCAGGCCTTCCCCAAACAAAGGTGGCCGTCAACATTTCCAGGCTCCCATTCTTAGGGACTCTAGCGGGAAGAAAGTGCCCCTTGCCCAAAAGTTTTGGTGAGAAAGTCCCAAGATTGACTCTGACGGGACAAACTTGTGTCGGTGCTTCTCCCTGAACCAATCACTGAGGTCCACAGATACCCTGTTCTTATTGGTCAGACCGAGGCCACACCCCCAGCCTTAGAATGGAGGGTAGAGTTGGCAGCACTAGAGACCCATGAGAGAATAAAGGAGGAGTGGTTCCCCCAAAATAAAATAAAATAAATCAGGGTGCCAGGGCAGGAAAAACAACATATGTCCACCCATCTCCCTCCTTTGTGCTCAATTGCTCCAATGTCTCTGGTTGGTAGAATTCTAAGATGGCCCCCAAGGTATATGCTTACTCTCTCCCAGTTATTCAATCAAACCCTAATCTAGATGCTTCTGTGGAGGAATGCTGCAAATGTAACTAAGGTCCCAAATCAGTTGACTTTAAGATAGGGATATTATACTAACCAGGTGATCCCTTAGGAGGAACAGCATTCTTCCTGGTAAAGGAGATTCAACTCACGAAACTCAACACCAGGGAGACTTTGCTGCTGGCTTGGGAAGTGGGAGGGGGCCATGTGGTCAGAATTTCAGGCAGCTTCTAGGAGCTAAGGGTGGGCCCTGGCTTACAGCCTGCAAAGAAACAGTGACCTCAGTCCTACAAATGCAAGGAACTGAATTCTGCCAACAGTGTGAATAGTGTGGGAGTGGGTTTTCCCCCAGAGCCTCCAGAGAACTCAGCCTTGGTGTCACTTTTGTGAGACCCTGAGCAGAAAAACTAGTTGCATCGTGCTGGACTGTCAACCTACAAATTTGTGAACTAATAGATGGCTATTGTTTTAAGTTTCGAAGTTTATGGTTCCATTTAGGCAGCAATAGAAGATGAATACACTTCCCAATGGACTGTGCAATCCCGACAGTAGGGAGCTTGTCTCGGGTCTCCTTAGCCTCTTCATCCCCAGAACACAAGAAGTCTCTCTTCCTGCTTCCAGTCCCACTATCTGGGAAAGAGAGAAGGAACCCAGGTCTTCGTCGTCCTACCCCAACCCCCCAACTGCCAACTTCCTGCCTTTGGCTTTCCACAAACAGCCTGTGCCCCACCAGGCAGCTCAATGTATCTCCACTTCCCAGGCCTCAGAGACCTTTGGCCAACTCTATTGATCTGGACTCCTGCGTAGGCGAGTGGACAGACGGACAGACGCCATGAGGGCTCTGCTGCTCCTGGGGTCCCTGGTGGTGATCCTGGAACCAGCGCTTATGGTGAGGGCTGTGGGAACCAGGAGGATTGTGCGGGGTGGCCCTGGGGGTCTCTGTCACAAGCTGGGCCTCTGCCTGTGACCTCTTGGTCGAGGTGACCGAAGGCCTGTGTGGAAAGGTGAGGTCAGCCCAGAAGGCCCAGGAGGAGGAGACGCCAGAGCCTGTGGATACGAGGGGGTGACCTGCGTTTCTGGGGGAGAGGGTCCCTGCGGAGGGAGGAGGAGAAGGGGTCTGGGTCTTGTGAGGAAAGCCCTGTTTCTCTGCGCTGTGAGAAGCCCGGGACTAGCATGGGACCGGGGGCAGGCTGTGACCTCCAGAGCAAATTCCTGTCCTCTTCTCTCCTCCTGTAGACCCCACGTTGGAAAGACCTCAGGGTGCCTAAGCCGGTAGAAGATGAACACACAGTGGGTAAGTAGCCTGGGTCTGCCTCCGAAGAGACCCTTGGGTGGGAATGAGTGTGACTGGGTCTGTCTCAGGCCCTTGGAACCAGGGGCAGGATCCTGGGCACAACTGTTACTCTTGTCCCCAGAGTCACCTGCTGGCATTCAGACCGGAGCGCCTGCTGTGTGCCAAGTCTATGCTGATGGGCTCTAGGGGCCCAGAATGCTAGTAGCTGTCTGCTCCTTGAGTGTAGGGCTGTTTCTGAGTGCCCAGTCCAGCCCTGCCAGTTTTCTGTTTCCCCATGCTCCCCCATTCTTTTCCTTTCCTCGATACATCTCACAGGCATCAGCCATGCCACACAGAGGCCAGAGGCCTTGATAGGCGAGGAAGGATCAAGAGCAGGCATCATTTGGAGCCCAAATGCCTCTGAGAAAGTGACTTGACCTTTCCAAACTTCAGTTTCCCCACCTGTAAAACCAAGCTGGTTATAGTAAACGCCTTAGGGGTCTTGGGAAGGAGAAACGAGTCATAAATCCATGGGAAAGTACTCAGCTCACGGTCAGGTGCATGGTCAATGCTTAAAATATACTAGCTTTTCTAATTAAGCTCTCTTTTAGGTGGGGATGTCTGCCATCTCCCCCTTCCTCAAACCCAACCAGAGCTCCCCACTGCCTCCATTCTTCCAGGCACTACATATTCACCTGGAGTTGTGAACTGATGGCCCCTGCCCTGGTGAGCCTGGCCTGTGGGGTCAGGCCTAGCCCCTTAGCGTGGCACTGAGGACTAGCTCATACAACTCTGTCTGCCTCAGCCTCCTTTCCTCATCACTCCACAGCCATCCAAACTTGCCTAGTCCAACTAGGTGATCTGCCCTTGCCTCATCACCTACTTAGGATGCTCCTCCTCTCTGTTCATCCCATTTGCCTCTTTTTTTTTTTTAAATATATTTTTATTGATTTTTTTACAGAGAGGAAGGGAGAGAGATAGAGAGAGTTAGAAACATCGATGAGAGAGAAACATCAACCAGCTG